TGTCTAAATGTGAATTGATTCGTGTCTAAATGTGAATTGATTCATGTCTAAATGTGAATTGATTCATGTCTAAATGTGAATTGATTCGTGTTTAAATGTGAATTGATTCATGTCTAATTGAGACTTCAAAAAAGCCACAACCAGTCACTAGAACAAGATCAGCTGTTTATTCAGCAGCTTGGTAGCTACAGGGTCACCTTCTAGAAAGCCTTCGACCTGTTCTCAGATTCAGGTGAATAATATTTCCATTTAATTTTGTTTATTTTTACACAGTTTACTGGAAGGCACAGAAGATAAAATATAGATCAGTGATGCATGTGAAAAACCTACAATTTTATTGATTTTTTTTATTATTATGTAATTATTTGCTGGGGTAATTGATAATCAATGCATATATTAACAGAAAAACAATTTTACACATATGAGTTTATTTTATTTTGAAAGCTACCACAGGAAGTAAAGCTTATCAGCTCTCTTTGATCCTGGTCAGCATGAAGTGCTGGCCTGGATTAAAACTGTTTTAAAGGGAGAAACATCTTCAGCTCCCTCAGCAGCTTGTTTTATATTTCAGCTCAGTGTCTGAAGATTATTATTTATTTTTTTGTTTGTTTTAGTTTTTCCAGGAGCCGAGGAGCGACAGCGAGTGTCAGAAGAATATTACAGAGTTCCTTAAAGGCTGCGGGGCTTTCGGTGTGGAGGTGAGTCGGTGTTTGGTTATGAATCACAGTTGGTCTTAAACCCTCAGAAGGCCTTTAAAGGAACATCCACCAACTTAACTAACTGCTTAAAAAGACTGTTTTACATATTCTTCTACACAATAAACCCTGACATAAAAAATATCAAAGTTTAATGATTTTATATATTTTTTAGCTCCTTAAGAACCTTTAGTAAAAAAAACAACAACAAAAACGTCACAATTGCGACTTAAAAATGTATATTTTATGCAAATTTATAAAATAAGGCATTTTCCCCCTTTGCACACACAATGGGATATTAAAAAAAAAATAGTTGTAGTCCTGAGTTTTCAGAAGTTTTCAAAAGTCCAACCAGAAACGAAAAACATGGCTTCGATTTCATTAAAACATTCACGAGTTGCTGCGTGACCAGACTGGCAGGTTTTCATGTTTTGGGTCGAGCCAACCAGCCGGCCGGTTCTTCAGCATGCACGTGGCTCTACTTTTTGTATGGAGTACTTTACTAGTGCACAACACGAGTGTGTTTTTGCTCTTTACATCCAAACTAAAACAGTTTTGTTGGACAAGACGAGACTCGGGCCTCCACAGGAACGTTTGGCTGCGACGGACGCACCTCTTCCAGGTAAAAAACAAAGCGCCACCTAGTGGGATAATATAAAATGTCAAGTAAGTAGCAGTGTTTCCCCTACCATTATCTAAGGAGGGCCCCGCCCTGTCAACAGAACTGAGTGCCCCGCCCACCAAAATGTCCTTCACCCACAACTCCCCCCTTCTCAGTTGACAACTGCCGGCACTGACGTAGCGCTAAGCTAACACGCAACACAGACATCTCTCTACCCACCCCATCGACGAGATGAGCGCCCTGCCAATGCTAGTGGCCAAGGGGAAACGCTGGATGAGAAGGTAAGATAAAAAAACACTACTGAATGGAAAAATCATTGTTTTATGATAAATATAGGATCAGTTGCATTTATAATGGATTTCAATATGGTAAATTTTCCCCTTACGTACCACTAGAGGGCAGTAAAGTTACTGAGGTAACCAGAGCATTTGAAACAATTCTGACCCAAAAAAAAAAAGATTTTTAGACTTTGTCAATAACAGTCTTGTCTGTTGACAACTCCAAAATAAATGTTAATAAAAACATTAACACGAATAAATACGTGGTGGATTTGTTTTCCCCATGAGACCTTCTGAGGGTTAAGCTTCTTCTGTTGAGCCGTCACTGCCTTTAAAGGGTGTTTTATGTCCACGTTGTATCAGCGATGCCTTCGTAAAGACGTTGAAATATAGCTAATGAGCTTGACTTCAGTCATTTTGATCCAATGTATCAGTTGAGTAAAATTTTAATGAACACTAGGAATTTTGTTTGAAAATCCCTAAACTATAGGTCTAACGATGCACTGTTTTTATCTTGGATTCTAGTTTGTTGCTTGTCCATTAACTTAATGGTTCCTCGAAAACAACGGTTTGGAACGAGCAAAAAGTCACCGCTTTACAGATTTACCGATACAGCATAAGTGACTTCCTGTCAACGTTGTGTTCAAACCTCACAATAATAAGGAAACAGACTTGGAAGGGCTCTGCGTAGGTGAATAAAATGGACACTAAGGCACTTTAAAGTGTCCGGTTTTCCGTCTGGATGTTCTCGTCTGGAGACAGCGCAGCCTATTTCCTGAGATAAGGGGGGTACATTTTCCGTGTCCAGGGTGGGTGGGGTCACGAAGGATGCTAACATCTCTGTCTCTACATCTGGCAGTGTAGATGTCACTGTAGATGCACCCGATGGTCCTCTGGGCAGACTTTACCACCCTCCCTCTGAGGCACTGTGCAGCTTCCAAACCACACATTTTTGTAGATGCTCTCATGAACCCCCTATATGGTGTTTTAAATCATGCAGGGAAATTATGGCTCAAGGGCCAGACCCAGAAACTAATCTGGCTCTTGAGGTCTTAAAATGAAAACAAAACTCAAATAACTTAAACATGAATCTTTGGGCAGGAGGCTACTTTGCTAGTTTGATTTTTGTTGTTTAATATCTTTTTGTATTGCTAGCGTAATTTTTTAAAATTTTTATTTATAGACAAACTCATCGGCCACTTTTTTAGGCTCTCTGGTTCATTTGACACAAATAATTCAGCAGCCAATCACATGACAGCAACTCTGTGCCTTCAGGCATAGTGATGTGGTGAAGACGACTTGCTCAAACTGGGAATCAGGATTAAGTGACTTTGAATGTGGCGTTGTTGTTGGTGCCAAAAAGTCTGTTCAGATGATTTTAGAACCTGCTGATCTAGTGGGACTTTCACGCACAACCATCTGTATGGTTTAAAGAGAGTGGTTCAACAAAAAGAAAATATCCAGTGAGCAGCATTTGTGAGGACAAAGAAAGCCTTGTTAGCATCAGACTGGTTCTAGATGAGAGAAAGGCAACCCCTCGTTACAACCAAAGGTCTGCAGAACCATCCAGCCTTGAAGCAGACGGGTTTCCTCTGGTCGTATGGGTCAGGATTCACTACAACCTCCACGACCACCAGATCTCAGATGGGGAGGAGCAGGAGACTCATATCCTGGATGTGTAGCTGATATGCCTGGCACGATAACAAATTTTGCTGGGCGATTAATTGTCTCAGAAATTATTGCGATAAACGACAATATTGTTTGAAATTTGACAATAATTAGTCATGGCAAATTTAAGAAAAAATGTTGGTTAATTTTTGTGTGTAGTACCTTTTTTGGCCACTGGATAGAAGTATAAGACAGTTTGAATCGAATGATGGATAGTGAGGGAGCGAGCAGTGTGACTCTTTAAGAAAAATGGGAGGGAGGCTCCTTGAAGTGACATGGGCTGTCTATCGTTCCTGTTTTTTGGTTTTCAAAATGGCGGGCAATCTGTGTTGGTTGAGCTCTTTAGCATAGCATTTGTCACACAAAGCTTTTAATAAAAAATCAGTAAACAAGTTCTCAGCTTCTTTTTGCAGTGAAAAACAACTTTTTACACAAAGGCACGGGTTTCAACCATGAATTTTGGAGCTTTGACAAGACAGAGGTTTTTTTCGCGAGGTCGGCCTGTTAGCTTAGCTTGTAGCTTAGCTTCCCATCATAGCTGCTTTTAACGATCCAAAAATGCGATTTTGGACATTTAAAACAGATTTTAAAGAGAAAAGAGAAAGGGAGGGGTCAGTGAAGAGCACCGGCATTGAGCTTTTTGTCATCCAGTATCCAGTAGAAAGAGAGAGACAAAGAAAAGATAAAGTCGAAAAATGAAAATGTTTGATAATTTTTATTCATCATGCGATTAATTGATTAATTGTTTGTTGCGACAGGCCTAGTAGTTGATGCCATCATGTCAACAAGGACTAAAATCTCTGACGAAAGTTTCCAACAACTTGTTGAATCTATCTAACAATTAACATGATTATTGAAGGCAGATGGGGGGTCAGAAGGGGGTTGGATCCTATACTAGTGTGGTGAGATTATAGTCCCCCCATCACGGAGCAAAGAGAGAAAATTGGAAATACCATTCGTCAATCTGTGCATGTTGTGACCGTGATCACTTAAAACAAAGTGAGATACTAACGTCCGTTTTAGTGTGTGCCAGCATCAAAGTGTAAGGAAGATTAATATCAAAAATTGGGTTGCCACGACAAAATCCAACATGGCTGCCACCATCAAGTCAAGTATGTAAACTGGCCACTCCTATCATTTGAGGAAACTTTTTGATTTTTAGTTTTCATATTGTTTAAAAGTAATAGTTTCCTTAAATGATTGAGGTGGCCTAATATTAATCTTTGGTGGCAACAAATTTGAGTCCACCCCGAAGTGAAAATGTTCAAATTATGCCCAACATGTCAACATTTTGTGTGGCCACCATTGTTTTCCAGCACTGTCTTAACTCTCCTGGGCTTGGAGCGTCACAAGCTGCCGCTGGAATCCTCTACTAGAGAATCTACAGGCCTTGCACTCCTCCACCTTCTGTCTGAAGACGCTCAATAGGGTTTAGGTCTGGAGACATGCTTGGCCAGTCCAGCACCTTGCCCTCAGTTTCTTTAGCAAGGCAGTGGTCATTTGGAGGTGTGTTTGAGGTCGTTATGTTGGAATACTGCCCTGCGGCCCAGTTTCCAAAATGAGGCAATAAGCTTGAGTATGTCACAGTATGTGTTGGCATTCATGGTTCCCTCGAACTGTAACAACCCACAGACCCAAACCATGATACTCCCACCACCACCATGCTTGACTGTAGGCAAGACCCACAAGTCTTTGTACTCCTCACCTGGTTGCCACCACACACATTTGATACCGTCGGAACCAAGTAAGTTCATCTTAGTCTCATTAGACTGCAGGAAATGGTTCCAGTAATCCATGTCCTCAGTCAGTTTGTCTTCAGTGAATTGTTTGCGGGCTTTCTTGTGCATTATCTTTAGAAGAGGCTTCTTTCTGGGTCGACAGCCATGCAGACCACTTTGATGCAGTGTTTGATGTATGGTCTGAGCATTGACAGGCTGACCCCCCTTCCCCTTCGACCTCTACAGCAATGCTAGCAGCACTCATATGTCTATTTTCAAAAGACAACCTCTGGGTATGACGCGCACTCATATGTCTATTTTCAAAAGACAACCTCTGGGTATGACGCTGAGCAGGTGCACTCTACTTCTTTGGTCGACCATGGCGAGGCCAATTCTGTTAAACGGCTTCATGGCCTTGGCCACTGTGCTGCAGCTCAGTTTCAGGGTGTTGGCTCTTATAGCCTAGGCCATCTTTACGTAGAGCAACAATTCTTGTTTTCAGATCCTCAGAGAGTTCTTTCCCACGAGGTGCCATGTTGAGCATCTAGTGACCAGTATGAGAGCGATAACACCAAATTCAACACACCTGCTCCCCATTCACGCCCGAGACCCTGTAACACTAACAAGTGACACCACACCGGGGAGGGGAAATGGCTATCCATCCATCTGTACATCCATTATCTTTTACCCACATCTTCCTTTTTGGGTCGCGGGTGT